ACAAGTGAGGGGTGGTGGGAGGTTCGCGAGGTGAAGCGGGGGGGGAGGCTGCAAAAAGGTGAGCCGGGAGCTAGCGAAGGTCTGAGGTTGGTGGAGGCCTTCATGGTATGGCTCGCTTGTGGGCGCAAAGGCCCCGCAGGGACCCACTGTCATCGCCCGTGGGTGAGAATGGCCCGTATGGACCCACGCATCATGTACGTCGGTCGATGTATCATCCGTGGGTGAAAAAGCCCTCTTGGGGACCCACAACGTAGCATAGCTGTACTTGCTGTCTCCTCCTTTTCCTCCTCCTCCTCCTCCTTTTCCTCCTCCTCCTTCTCGTCCGTCGGCCTCCTCCCCTCCTCCTCCCCTCCTCCTCCTCCTCCTCCTCCTCCTCTCTCCTCCTCACTCCCCCCTCCTCCTCCTCCTCCTCCTCCTCCTCCACTCCTCCTCCTCCTCCTCCTCCTCCCGCTCCTCCTCTTCTTTCTCCTCCTCCTCCTCCTTTATACGTTAGACCAACCTGAGAGTCGAGCTGTGGCGTTAGTCCTCCTCCTCCTCCTCCTCCTCCTTCTCCTCCTTCTCCTCCCCCCCCACCCCCTCGTGGCCCTCGGGGGGGCTCTGCTGGCCCGCAGCCGCGGCGAGGAGGCAGCCTGGAGGGTCCTCGACGAGGCGCAGCTCGAGGGGCCTGGGCCCCAGTCAAACGGCGGCGACTCCGCGAACTCGGCCGTGAGCCTGAGCCCGACGCCACCGTTGCAGCCAGGCCTCAGCCAAGCATCGCGGGTGGGGAGTCAGGACCCTCAGATCCAGGCGTTGCAGTGTCTTCGAACCGGGCGCCTCCGCCCCGTTTCGGGCCCCGGGACCATCTTGACTACACATAAGAGTGACTTTTCGCCGGAGTGACCTTTGGTGCGGGCATAAATTGGTCCCCAGATCGCCGAACGCGATGCAGTAGTAGCGTCTTGCGCGCTTGTTTTCGGTCCCCCCGCGGCCCCCCCAAACGCCGCGCACCAAATGTCACTCTTACCCAGGGTCGCTCTTGCGTGTAGCCGACCGTCACGCGTCTACCCGGCTCGAAGAGCGGTGCGGGAAGATCGGGTCCAGGGCCTTGGTTGTGCCTTTTCACGACGCTGCTGTTCTAGGCCTCCAGCTGTCCTGTTCGCAGCTCCGACCCTATCTGGGAGGCCTCCAGCTGTCCTGTTCGCGGCGTCGGAGAGCTCAGGGGCCGCTGCCGCCGCGCTTCCCCCCCCTCGTGTTCTGGTGGCCCTCGACGGCCTCCAAGGCGCGCCCGGCGGTGCTGGCCGGAGGGCGCCCCGGGAGAGGTCTGCGGGGAGAGCGCGGTCGGACCGAGGCAGAAGATCGAGGTCCGTTCGGGGGGGGGAGGAGGAGGAGGAGGAGGAGGAGGAGGAGGAGGAGGAGGAGGAGGAGGAGGAGGAGGAGGAGGAGGAGGAGGAGAAGGAGGAGAAGGAGGAGCAGGAGACGCGCGGCGCGGCGGATCCGATCGAGGGCCCAACTCACGGGAGGGCTGAAGCACGTCGCTGGAGGCTTGGGCTATCGGGATCAAAGGTTGGCCCCTGGGCCGATCAAGGGGCGCGCTTGGGCCAGCATGTCGACAGGAATCCAGCGGTGGCAACGAGAGCGCCACTGGATGCCCCACAGAGGGCGAAAGGCTTCCAACGACCTTCTCGAGCCTCGACGTGCGATCCTCGGAGGGCCTGAAAAACACACAGACGCGTCGTCGCCAGAAACGTCAAGCAGCCGCGCCAGGCTCTGCAGAGCACCGAGAGAGACAACGGTCAATCCAACAAGCGCCCCCGCCGGTAAGGCGGGCCTGTCTCTCTACAGGAGGAACATTCAATGGTAGGCACAAATAGTCTGGCGACGATGTTTAATAGTACATATATACATACCTACCCACCCACCCACCCACCTACCTACCTACCGACCTACCTACCTACCTACCTACCTACCTACATACATACATACATACATACATACACACATCCATACATACATGCATACATAAATACATACATACATACATACCTACCTACCGACCGACCAACCTACCTACATACATACATACATCCATACACACACCTCCATACATCCATATCTACATACATACATACATACATACATACATACATACATACATACATACATACATACACATACATACATACATACATACATACATACATACATACAACCATACATACATACATACCTACATACATGCATGTATGCATGTATGCATGCATGCACACACATACATACATACATACATACATGCATGCATGCATGCATACATACATACTTACATACATACATACATACATACATACATGCACACATCTATACATACATACATACATACATGCATGCATGCATACATACATACATACACACATACACACATATAAACATACATACATACACAGATACATGCATACATACATACATACATACATACATTCATTCATACATACATGCATACGCACATACATACATATACACACATACATACATACCTACATACATACATACATACACACCTATATACATACATACATACATACATACACACACACACACATACATACATACATACACACACATACATACATACATGCATACATACATACATACATACATACATACATACATACATACATACATACACACCTACACACATACATACACATATAGGTGTGTATATATATGTATATATATATATATTCATATACATCTCTCTCTCTCTATATATAGTGCTATTGTTGAATAATATGGGGTACTTTTAATTTGTCATCGAAAATCGGCCTGTAGGGGGACCTGCCCGACCTAACCCTGCCGTTCCCAGGGCCCGCCGAGGGCGCGTGGCCCTCGTGAGGCCCCCCTGCGGCTCTGTGAGGCGCAGGGGCCGCCAGGGACCCGAGGGCGCTCCTCCGCGCAGGGCGCTCCAGAGAGCCGGAGTCTGATGGACCTCCTGCCCTGACACGTCGATTCGTGAATTGGCCGTCTTCGGTTCGCGAGAGGCGTCACGGCCGTTTTTCTTGCGGGTCCAGGTCCGCCGGTTTCGGTCTTAGGCCGAAAGGGTGGTGTACTACAGGGAGACGAGGAGGAGGAGCAGGAGGAGGAGGAGGAGGAGGAGGGGGAGGAGGAGGAGGAGGGGGAGGAGGAGGAGGAGGAGGAGGAGGGGGAGGAGGAGGAGGAGGAGGAGGAGGAGGAGGAGGAGGAGGAGGTTTGTCCACCGCCGAGAGAAGGCCTCGGCGGCCTGGCGGAAGCCGGCGGAGGCAAAGCGGGCGCGGCTCCGCCCGCGGAAAGCCAGCGGGAGCCTCTGTCGGGGGCCCCGACACTGGGTGGTGGCCACACCGTGTGGTGAGTCGGTGGGGATGCGGGGTCACCGCACGGTTTTAGGGCTCGGGCCCTTCTCCAAGGATGTCTCGGGCGACGGGGGCCTCCAGGGTCCCGAAGCCGTGCGGTGACGGACCGTGCGGTGAGGTTTTGGGGGATTCGAGGTCACCGCATCGTGTGTCCATCGCACCGCTTCGGGGCTCCAAACTCTCGGCCTCCTAGATTCAAGCAGTGGCGAAACGTCTTGTCTCGCCTATAGGCCCACCGAAGAATGTTCTAAGAACCCGTTGTGGTCTGCACGACATGTTGTTAGAACATTTCTGGCTGAGACTGTCTTGTTTTAACGCACCGGGCTTATGCTGTAAGAATTTGCTTTTGTGTTTCGAACATGTTTGGGTCCTAAGGACATGTCGTGGTAGGCCTACAGGAAAGCCGGGACGGTAGGTCCCTGCTCAAAAGATGGGGTCCGAGCAGATGGGGTCGGAGCGTCGCGCCGCATCGCCGAGGCATCGACGATGAGGCTCGATGTGGAGCTCGTGTTTCCCCACGCCGACGTCACCTATGCATCGTCGACGCCGCCGATGCATCGCCGATGCATCGCCGATGCATCGCCGATACATCGGCGATGCATTGGCGAAGCGGAGCGATCCTTCGACTCCATCTACTCGGAACGCATCTGGGAGGCCTCCAAAGCCGCACGCCGGCGGAAGTAAAGGATGCCACTCAAAGAGAGGTCAACATTTCTGGGCCCAGGGGTCCCAGAGCTCGCCACTTGGCAGATGCATCGGTGGGCAGTTTGCCTCTCCCGAAGGCGTAGATGACGCGTTCGATGGCGAGGGCGAGGACTCGTTCCCAGTGGCGGACTGGGATCACAGCCCGGGGCAGGTGAAGAAGTGGCGCGTGGATCAGTCCCACATCCATTCGGCGCAGGCGCCACCCGTGCCTGTGTGCTGCTCCTTTGCTCGTCCAGCTGCTCTTCCTGCCGCGCTGCATGTTCTTCATGCTCCTCCCCATGCCGCTGCTGCTGCTGCTGCTGGGTCTTCTCCTGTCTCCTCGTCCTCGTCCTCCCCCTTCCTTCTGTTTCTTGTCTCGGGGGCGCCACGAGGCGGGTGATGACGAAGGGGAGGTGCATATCCATGGCCAGTGCCATGACATCTCCCCAGACTTCATGGCGCCACCTCTTGTTTCAATACAGTCGGGGCGCTGAAGAAGGAACCTTTTTCGTTGGGGAGGGGCTCGGTGTTCCTTGATTGTTTTACAGCTTGCCCTAGGTTATCATGAGGTTTTCCATGGGAGATCGAAGTGTAACTTATGGGAAAAAGGGGCCTCGTTCCTTATTTAGGGTTCCTTAGGTCGACGCCCCGACTGTACGCCCCCTGGCACCCCCGCTGGGCCGCGCACGTGGGCCATGATTTGCGAACCCCCCTCTTGGACGCCCCCCTCTCGGGCGCCCGCGCTTCTCCTCCTTCCTCGTCCTGTCACTCCTCCTCTTCTTGCTCTCGCGGCTGCTCCTCCTCGTGATGATCAGGCTGCTTCGCCTTTTTCGATCTCCTGGTCCAGCTTCTGCCTCCGCCGCAGCCTGCGGTGCCTCTGTTCGGTCGCAGTCACGCTCCGCAGTCATGCACCGAAAGAGGGCGAGGAAGAGGAGGAGGACAAGGATCAGGAAGACGACGATGAGGATGAGGAGGGAGAGGAGGGGGAGAAGGAGATAGACGGGGAGCATGGAGAGGAGGGCGAGGAGTAGAAGGAACGGAAGGGATTTGAGGAGGAGGAAGAGGAGGAGGATCAGGATAATGACGATGAGGGGGATGAGGGAGATGAGGGGGAGGCGGAGGAGGACGGGGAGCAGGGAGGGGAGGGGGAGGAGTAGTAGGAACGGAAGGGATTTAAGCAGGCGGAGGACGCGGAGTAGGAGGAGGAGGGGGAGCAGGAGGACGAGGAACAGTAGTGGTATTGGTAATGGTAGTGGTAGTCGTAGTAGTTGTAGTAGTCGTAGTAGCCGTAGCCGTAGTCAAAGTCGTAAGCGTAGCCAGATCTTTCTTTATTAGCAGTTTCAGTAGTAGTAGTAGTAGTAGTAGTAGTAGTAGTAGTAGTAGTAGTAGTAGTAGTGGTAGTAGTAGTAGTAGTAGTAGTAGTAGTAGTAGTAGTAGTAGTAGTAGTAGTAGTAGTAGTAGTAGTAGTAGTAGTAGTAGTAGTAGTAGTAGTAGTAGTAGTAGTAGTAGTAGTAGTAGTAGTAGTAGTAGTAGTAGTAGTAGTAGTAGTCGTACTGGTGGTGCTGTGTGGTGGTGGTGTGGTGTGTGTGTGGTGGTGGTGGTGGTGGTGGTGAGTAGTTAGTAGTAGTAGTCGTAGTAGTAATAGTAGTAGTAGTAGTAGTAATAGTAGTAGTAGTAGTAGTAGTAGTCGTGGTGGTGATGGTAGTAGTAGTAGTAGTAGTCGTAGCAGTCGTGGCAGTAGTAGTTGTAGTCGTCGTCGTCTTCGTAGTAGCCGTCGTAGCCGTAATAGAAAAAGTAGTAGTATTAGTAGTAGTAGAAGTAGTAGTAGTAATAGTAGTAGTCGTCGTCGTCGTCGTCGTCGTCGTCGTGGTCGTCGTCGTCGTCGTCGTCGTCTTCGTCGCCGTCGTAGTAATCGTAGTAGTAGCAGTAGTAGTAGTAGTAGTAGTAGTAGTAGTAGTAGTAGTAGTAGTAATAGCAGTAGTAGTAGTAGTAGTAGTAGTAGTAGTAGTAGTAGTTGTAGTTGTAGTAGTTGTAGTAGCAGTTGTAGTAGGAGTAGTAGTAGTAGTAGCAGATGTAGTAGTTGTAGTAGTAGTAGTAGCAGTAGTAGTAGTAGTCGTAGTAGTAGTAGTAGTAGTAGTAGTAGTCGTCGTCGCAGTCGTAGTTGTAATCGTGATCGTAGCCGTAGTAGTAGTAGCAGTAGTAGTAGTAGTAGTAGCAGCAGCAGTAGTAGTAGTAGTAGTATGATTAATGTTAGTAGTAGTCGTCGTCTTAGTCCTCGTAGTAGCCGGAGTAGTAATAGTAGAAGGCGTAGTAGTAGTAGTTGTAGTAGTAGCAGCAGTAGTAGTAGTAGTAGTAGTAGTAGTAGTGGTAGTAGTAGTATTAGTAATAGTAGTCGTAGAAGTAGCAGCAGTAGTAGTAGTAGTAGTAGTAGTAGTAGTAGTAGTAGTGATGGTAACAGTGGTAGTAGTAGATGTAGTCGTAGTTGTCGCTGTCGTGGCAGTAGTAGTAGTAGTAGTAGTAGTAGTAGTAGTAGTAGTAGTAGTAGTAGTAGTAGTAGTAGTAGGGGTCGTAGTAGTAGTAGTAGTAGTAGTAGTCGTAGTAGTAGTAGTAGTAGTAGTAGTAGTAGTAGTAGTAGTAGTAGTAGTAGTAGTAGTAGCAGTAGCAGTAGTCGTAGTAGTAGTAGTAGTAGTAGTAGTAGTAGTAGTAGTGGTAGCAGTAGCAGTAGCAGTAGCAGCAGTAGTAGTAGTAGTCGTGATCGTTGCCGTAGTAGTAGTAGTAGTAGTAGTAGTAGTAGTAGTCGTAGTAGTAGTAATAGTAGTAGTAGTAGTAGTAGTAGTAGTAGTAGTAATAGTAGCAACGGGAGCAGTAGTAGTAATAGTAGTAGTAGTAGCAGTAGCAGCAATGGTAGTAGTAGTAGTAGTAGTAGTAGTAGTAGCAGCAGTAGTAGTGGTAGTAGGAGTAGGAGTAGGCGTAGTAGCAGTAGTAGTAGTAGTAGTAGTAGTAGTAGTAGCAGCAGCAACAGCAGCAACAGTAGTAGTCGTAGTAGCCGCATTAGTAGTAGTAGTGGTAGCAATAGCAGTGGTAGCAGCTGTGGTGGCAGTGGTGTTGTTGGTGGTGGTCGTGGTAGTCGTAGTAGTACTCGTAGTGGTGGTCCTTGTAGTAATGGTGATCGTTGTAGTCGTGATAGTAGTCGGAGTAGCTGTAGTTGAAGTAGTGGTGGTGGTTGTGGTGGTAGTTGTAGCAGTGGGGGTTGTAGGAGCTGTAGCAATAGTAGTAGTAGTAGTAGTAGTAGTAGTAGTAGTAGCAGCAGTAGTAGTAGTAGTAGCAGTAGTAGTAGTAGTAGTAGCAGTGGTGGTGGTAGTAGTACTGGTAGTATTAGTAGCAGCAGTGGAGGTAGTAGTTGGAGTATTTGTAGCCGTCGTAGTCGTAGTTGTAGTCGTAGCCGTAGTCGTAGGCGTAGTCCTAGTAGTAGTAGTAGTAGTAGTAGTAGTAGTAGTAGTAGTAATAAGCATAGTAGCCGTCGTAGCCGTAGTAGCAGTGGTAGTCGTAGCAGTAGTAGTTGTAGCTGTAGTCGTAGTATTAGTAATACTTTTTGCTGTAGTAGTCTTAGCAGTATCAGCTGTAGTAGAACAAGAAGTAGTAGTGGTAGTAGCAGTAGTAGTAGTAGTCGTCGTCGTAGCAGTAGTAGTAGTAGGAGTAGTAGTAGTAGTAGTAGTAGTAGTAGTAGCAGTAAGAATAGCCTTATTAGTAGTTGTTGTAGCCGTAACAGTAGCAGGTGTAGCAGCAGGAGTAGTAGTAGGAGAAGAAGAAGAAGTAGTAGTAGTAGTAGTAGTAGTAGGACAAGTAGTAGTCGCACTCGTCGTAGTCGTAGTCGTTGTTGTAGAAGTAGTACTGGTAGTAGTAGTAGTAGTAGTAGTAGTAGTAGTAGTAGTAGTAGTAGTAGTAGTACTAGTAGTCGTGGTAGTAGTGGTGGGAGTAGTGGTAGTAGTTGTAGTAGTAGCAGAGGTAGTAGTCGTAGTAGCAGTAGTATCTAAGCTGGTGCTCGGTAGCCTGTGTCTGTGTTGCATTGTTTTGCGTTCTTTGCGTGTGTGACGTTTGCTGTTGCCTGTTTGACCTTGCTTGTTTGGTATTCGCACTTGCTCTTCAGCCGTGCTGATTCATTGCGCTGCTTGTGATAATTCCCTTAGGGGCAGGAGGAGCAGGAGGATAACTCCCTTCGTGTGATTAGACATTCAAGATAAGTGAATCACACATCAAAAACAAAGGAAACCCCGAAACATCACGCTAATCCTTGTGACAGGTCCAAAAATCAAATGACATGCATTGTCACACGTAGTCGGTCTGGGGTCGTCGGCCTGGGGGTGGGCAAACAGCGGGCGACAATTGAGAATCACACAAACAAGAAAACAACCTCAAACTATTCCTTGTTCAAACAACGCAAAAACAGTAACCGTTTCCGAACTTAGTCGGCTACACCTTAGAATCCCAAGCCGGTGACCCCCCACGCCGATTAAGTCCTGACAGCATTGTTCTTTTGGTTGCTCGGAACCACTACACGGATTAATGTGATGTTGATTGTTGTTTGTTTCAACGGCGTTCCAAATATTTTCGGCGCTTGGGCCGACGACCCCCAGACCGATTAAGGTTGAATGCGTTTTCGTTGGTTTCTTGTGTGACATTCACAAGGATTGCTTAGCTCTGGATTTCTTTATTTTCCCATGTTTGTTCAATTATTTTGGAGCGGGGGCTGGCGGCATTTGCGTGCGCATTGGCGGGGGCTCCGCTGGAGACGGCGGCCGGCAGCTCCGGCTTCGAGAGCCCGTTGCTGTCGTTGCCGGGCTTTGCGCCCAGGAAAGCGGCGCCGCAGTTGCTTCGCGAGTTGACCGCCGGGCTGGAGAGCGACGGCGCCAGCATCATCGGTCAGAGCACCCTGTCGCCGGCCGACCCCGCGCCTTGGAGGCATCGCGCGGCGGAGCACTTCCGTTAGGCGTGGATTTGCATGTGCGCCCACAGGGGCCAGGGCTGCGCACCCCCCCCCCCTTCCCTTGGGATTTTGCTCGCGCCCCGCCCACCCCCGCCCTCTCGCCCCCGTCGCCACTGGTTCCCCGCGCTGCCCGCTCGCCGCGCCCCCTCATCTCACCCGTTTCCCGCGGGCAAAGGTGCGCCGCTGATTCCTGCGGCCCGGGCACTTTTCTTTGGAAGCTCGAGGAGTTCTTGATGGAGACCTTGCAGTTCTTTTCGCGGAGCGAGGCGTTGGACTTCTGGGTCGTCAACTCGCGCAGCGGCCCATCCCAGCGCCTGGAGGAGGATCGGTTGCGAGCGTTCGGGGGGGCCCTCGTTGCCGCGGGTGGGCGCGCAACAACCTTGATTCTGGTTTGGGCTCCAACGCGGTGCTTGGGAAACAATCTCACGCCGCTAATGTCATCGCTCTTCCCCGAGGCACGTCGACCAGCGCGGCGACGATGGCGCTCTTTCGACGCCGACCTGGCGAGCATCGCCTCGATGTCGTTCGGCGCCGACGGCATCTTCGCCTCCTGGATCAAGGCGAGTGGCCCGCTGACGCGCTGCGCGCCCCCAGCAACTGGGCCCCTGAGGTCGTCGGGCATCGGGGCCTCCGCGGCGCCGCGGCCCCGCAGTCGGGGGCGCTCTCGCTCGTGGCCCGCCGATTCCAGCGGGATTTCGGGCACTCGATCATCGCGGGCTGCGACTGGAGGGCGCCCTGGGCCGCGGGCCCGCCGGCGCGGGGCTGCTTCGCATCAACGTCGCCAGGCGGCGGGTGCACAGGCGCGACCCGGCGCGCAGGTGGAGCGGCGAGTCGCCGCTGGCGGCTTTCTTGCCGCAGGCGGCGGCGACCGCGCCGCCGCCGCCGCCCCCGCCCGGGCAGCCTCTGGCCGATGCCCGACTTCCCGCGTTCCAGGCTGAGCTCGACAGGTCGCGGACCGAGGTCGGCAGACTCGCCGCCGACAGCGACCGCGGGCGGCCCGCCGAGTCGCTCACTTACAGGAGCAGCGGCCCCTCCACTCCAGAGCTCGCTCCTGCGCTGCCGGGAGGAGATGGCGAGCGCGACGGTTGCTGCGAAGGCGGGCGAGGCCAAGAGAACGGGCCGACCGCTCAGATGTCGGCGCGCGCGCTGCCCGGGCGCGGCCCCGCGGAGGCGCCGGGCCTCGCGCGCCGCGCGTTGCGCTGATGGCCCGCGCAGGCAGTCGCAACAGGTCTCTGCGCCTCCGCTCGCGAGTCGACGTCTTCCCCGCCGTCCAAGCAGGGCGCAACCGCCCCTGCTCCGCCGGGCAGGGAGGCGGGCGAGCGCCCCCCGGCTGGCAGCGCAGCAGACCCCCGCCCGGCGATCATCGAGGCGGGCGAGCCCTCCGCGGCCAGCGGCCGGGCGGGAGCGGCCGCGCCGGCCGCGCGCGCTGGCCGCGTGCGACAGCGGGCACTCGCGAGGCGCGGCTCGATGGAGGGCCTGCGCAGCGCCTTCGACGTCGACCTGCTGCTCGACGTGGCGGAGCGCGCGCTGGGGGAGCCTGAAGCACCCCGCGGTCGCCGAGCAATGCGGGCAGAAAGATGCGGAATTCAGGGTCGGGTTCAGCCAGGCGTCTCGCGCAAGCCGCGTCTGGATGCCGCGGGGGGTTCTGCGGGCGTGCCTGGAATGCGCGGCCGCGCGCCAAGTCGGCGCACCCTGGCCGCCGATGGCTCCGGCTGCGTGGCCTGCGCGCGCCCGGCGCTCAATTTGCTGCGCCCCTCGCGCGGTTCGCGGCCCCTCGGGGCGCTCCGCCAAAGGCCCCAGCGGCAGGGCCGCCGCGCGCCCGGCCTTCATTTTGGCTCGCATCTCGCACGTCGCGCGGCGCCATAGGGAGCTCCGCCGAAGGCTGCGAGGCAGTCCTAGGCGGAGGTCTCGCGCAGCTGCATGCGGTTGGGCCATTCGCCAGGCTAACATGTTCCTCAACGGTTTTCGTTTGCTCTGGATTCCTGGGCCGGCGATTCCTCGCCCCGCGCGTCCTTCTAATTCAGATTCTATATATGTATTTGTATATATATATAGATATTGGGTACCCAAATATTCCTGCGGGTCGCAGCAGGGGCCAGCGCATCGGGGTCAACCCTCGCGCGGCCCACAGTGACAAGAAAGCGCTGGGCTATTTTTTTCAGAAAACGGTATTGCGGAATTCGGCGGGAGATCGGCATCGGCGCGCGTCGCGTTCAATTCCGCTGCGCTGACCGCTAGCGCATCTATTCTTCAATAATTATGCCGGGTGGTTGGGGCCGGCGCCGTCGCCATGTCGCATGTGAAGAGCGCATGCTATATGATATGTGTGTGTATGTGTGTGTGTATATATGTGTGTGTGTGTGTGTGTGTGTGTGTGTGTGTGTGTGTGTGTGTGTGGGGGGGGGGGGGGGGGCGTGGGCCGGCGCCTCTCCAGGCGAATTCCGATTGAAAATCAGTTCGGGCATTCAATTGTTCGCGACGCTCAAGAACTCCGCGGGGGGGCGGGAAAAATTGCATTCCCATTGCGCCCCCGTTGATTAACGAAGGGCGATGAAATATGATTGAGTTCTACGGGGCGCTTGGATCGGCGCATTTCCGATCGAACGCCCATTGGGAGGCAGGTCGAACATTGGGAATTTTGAATTCTACGGGGGGCTGGGGCGGCCGCGTGCCCCGCCGCATTCCAAGTCGCAAGCGCGTCGGAGATCAAAGAATTCTGCGGGGAGTTGTGATCGGAGCGTTTCGCAGTGGATCTCAATTGAAAAGCAAATCGAGCATTGAAGCATTCAACGGGATGTCGGGATTGGAATTCCCATTGACAATGACTCGAATATTGCGTGATCCGACCGGGGATTGGCGCGCTTCCTATGATGCTCCGCATGAACGCATGGGGCATTAAGGATTTCGCCGGAAGGCTGGGATGGGAGCGTTTCCTATGATGTTCCGATTGACTAACACGCGGGGTTGTCAAGAATTTGGCCGAGGGGCTGGGCTTGGAGCACCTCTTTCTCAATTCACATTGACCAGCAAACTGCGCATTCAGACATTACGCGGGAAGGGGGGGGGGGGCGGCGAGGGGGCGGGGGCCCTCGCATTCTTATTCGGTGCCCGATTGGCGAACAAATCGAACGTTACAAACTTGCGCGGGATGCTGTGGTCGGCGCAGCTCCCACGGAATTGCCGCTGAAAAGCGACTCGGGCACGGGCGAATTTTGCGGGGGTCTGGGGTCGACGCGTGCCCCGTGGATTTCCGATTTACTAACGCGTAGGATATAACAGCATTATGTGGGGGGCTGCGATCGGCGCATTTCCTATTGAGTCCATTTAGAGAAAGAAAACCAATGATTCGCGAAGTCGCTGTAGTGAAAGGGTTGCCGGCATGCCGTTTCTCCGGCGGGCGTGTTTGTCGTCGTTGTCGCCGTTCCGCCGAGTGCGCTTTAGCTGGCTGCGCATGCAGAAACGCGCAGGCCAAGGATTGCCCAGTAATCTGGTCGTAGTAGAAGTAGTAGTAGTAGTAGTAGTAGTAGTAGTAGTAGTAGTAGTAGTAGTAGTAGTAGTAGTAGTAGTAGTACTAGTACTCGTAGTAGTAGTAGTAGTAGTCGTAGTAGTAGTAGTAGTAGTAGTAGTAGTAGTAGTAGTAGTAGTAGTAGTAGTAGTCGTAGTCGTAGTCGTAGTCGTAGTCGTAGTGGTAGTGGTAGTGGTAGTGGTCGTGGTAGTAGTAGTAGTAGTAGTAGTAGTAGTAGTAGTAGTAGTAGTACTCCCCATCGTAGTAGTAGTAATAGTAGTAGTAGTGGTAGTAGTAGTAGTAGTATAGTATAGTAGTAGTAGTAGTAGTAGTAGTAGTAGTAGTAGTAGTAGTAGTAGTAGTAGTAGTAGTA